AGAGTAAGAGATAAGAATGGTGCTAGGAATAAAAGAATTATATGTCAGAGTTTTTGTTGCCAGAAGCCCTCAGGGAACTTAGGACTTAATAGAAAATCTGAAAGGTTAAAGGCATTATGAGGTTTTTAGAGGTTGTTCAAGACAACCATAAAAGAGCTATCTGAAGGCAATATGTATTAGTTATCTACAGAGTGAGAGAACTGGCCAACAAATGCCATAGACATTCAAATTGAGAGAGAAACATTAGCTCTATTGACAACCATTTAAGATAATTTATAATGAAATTTTTGTGTTTTAAATGTTTGGTTTCAATTTTAATAAAACTGAGCTCTGTACTCATAAAACAGCAATTTTGACATCTGACTATGCAGAAGCATAGGATTTTAGTACAAACTGCTAATTGTAGAGCTTTGATTAGATGCTATAGAAAATATAGATACCTATTTATGTGCATATAAGAAGCTGCCATTTATATTGGTACCACTACCCATTGAACTATCACAGTACTCATCAAGTTATTTTATGTATACATGTAATCTAAATTTATTATAAGGAGTATCAATTATATATCATTGTGGGCTTTTCTTCTTCTTGGCACAATTGTACATTTATTGAAGATATATTTAATCAACAATAGTAACTGAATACCTACTCTGGGCAAGACATGGTCATCTGCTAAAAACACGCATGCATGCGTACATTCTCAGTCATGTCTGACTCCTTGCAACCCCATGGATTGTAGCCCACCAGGCTCCTCTGTCCATGGAGTATTCCAGGAAAGAATACTGGAGTTGGTTGCCATTTCCTACTCCAGGAGATTTTCCCACCCAGGGATGAAACCTGTGTCTCCTGCATCCGCAGGTGGATTCTTTACCACTGTGCCACATGGGAAGCCCTTGCTAAGAACCTATATCACCAAATAAAAATGCAAGATTGCTATAGTGATGTCATTGTTTATGCCTTTCAGATAGACATGCTCTCCTGAAATGGAATTAGTTGCCATTAGTCCCAAAACTGTGAAGCTCTGTATTAAAGTGGATAAAGTATTTTCAAAGTCTGTCCTCAGTAAAGGGGGGGAAAAAGAACTAAAACATTTTTCTCACTTTTCCCCTTAGTTGGCCCGCCACAACAAACTTTTACAACAGATGCTCAAACCAGGATCCGATCCAGATGATGGAGATGAAGCCTTGAAGTATTATGCCAACCATACTGCACAGATCGAGGTAACCATCAATGGGTCCAACTGTGAAAAGATACGTTTACTTTCTCTTTCAGACCGTTTTCATAATTGTTTCCTAGAACAACGATGTAGAACTGAGTGATGTAAACTGAATATATCAACATATATACCAAAAGAGGAGATGTGAGGGGTGGTCTGTAAGAAATCAATGTGCACATCTTTCAAAATAGTCTTTTCTTTTTTGACCAGAACTATATGTAAAGTCTCTTTTGTAATTAATAAAGTTGTTTTTGTTTTCTTTGGGTCCTGGAAGATATTTTAGAGACAGGATTATTATAATAGATTCTGTCATTCAAGAAATTGTTTCTTTTAAAACACTGGAAGGCTTATTAAAGAAGAGCTCTCTGTGTAAGAAAGGGTACAGAAGGGTGGGGAAAACGGAAGGCACTAGTAAAGTTTTCATATTGATAGCATGGACTTGAAATGGTTTAACAGTTTCCATTTCAGCCTGCAGCAGTTGAGCCCCGCCCCCATAAACGAGCCCTTATTTAAGGACTGGTGGCAGTTCAAGGGGTATGGGTCAGCATGGCCTTAATCATTACGTGTTGTGAGACCCATCTGGCTGTCACTTACTAGCTATGGTATCATTTTGACACTGGTTGGCAGAGATGATCAGGCAGAAGTGAGTAGAACAGTTGACGCCTGTCAAGGTAATTTACATTCATGCATTCATCCACTTCGGCAGATATTTGTTAGTTTTTGGCAGAGTGCACAGTGGCATTACTGCTGTTAACTCTCAGGGTACGTAATCACTGTACCTTATTGTTTACTGTTGCCAAACCTGTGCAGTACTGATCATTATTACCTTGTGTTACAAAGGGGATCCCTTGCTCACATTTATGAACATTAATAGCTTTGGTGGGAGACTTGACTTAGTGCAACCCACGAGCTGGGATTTTTGCACCCAGAGCAAAAACATTGCTCACTATCTCAGGTGCTTAGGGGCTGAGAAGCTGGCAAAGTTAGGAAGCCAGAGAAATTGATACAAATAGATCATCAAACCACCAAGGTTCTGTGGAAGGTCCCAGAGGCCAAAGAACAAGGTTAGCAATTAGAAGAGAATATCAGGAATAGATGGAATAGCAGGTGGACCAGAGGTAGGGGTTGAATTAATACCTCTCTGTGAGAACTGGGGACTGCAGTTGGAGTTGGACTTTTGTGGGTTCTCAGTGGTGAGGAAAGATTTAGCTGTGAATACATACATTCTGTAAATGTTTACTGAGCCTTTACTCTCTACCAGTTACATACACATAGAGAATATCATTCTGTGTAGTAATTGTATAAACAAAGGCCAAGGATATTTAGAGAAAATAGTAGTTAACTGTGCCTGGGGTATTTCAGGGTAGATTTCACAAAGAAGGTGGTATAAAATACATATTAAAATATTGAGTAGAGGTTTCTTTCTATTAAAATTTGAGCATGAAATTCCAGGTAGAATTGAATGAAGGGAAAGAGAAAGAACATAGGAAAGGGAATGATTCTTTTCAAAGATTATTCAAATTGCTGTTTGGAGAAAGGACTGGAAAAGGGAATGAGGCAAGGAAAGCAAGTAGATGAGATAGGAAGATAGAAAAGAGAGAGATGGTGATATTAAAGCTGACAGATTGGAGGATATAGAGACACTGTATATTATATCACACACATATACATATACACAGGGCTTGATGCTTGATGTTGGATTCTGCATGTAAGGTGAGGGAAACACTGGGGAAAAGGATGCCCCCTGGGCTTCTGGTTTGAATAAATGGACAAAAATTGGTGTTATGCACAAGGATCCTATCTTTGGCAGTTAAAATGTTCTGGAAGGTCATTTGTTGATTCTTGGAAAATTGAATTTGAGGTGACTTGAGGAATGCATGAAGCTGGATACAGAAGTTAAGGGTTCAAAGGAATACTCTGGACTGATGATCTAAATTCTTCCTGTTGACCAACCTCATGCTCATTCAAAGCCCAGCTTATATCACCTCTGCATTCATTTATTTTATCCCACTATACTCCTACAGGCATTTTGATCATTCTGTTTTTTCAAGGTGTCATGTTGGAATACTGTTAGCCTCTTATGGGTCACTGGCCCCCCACTTGAGGCAGGGACTGCTCTTAATCACCCTTTTATTTCCAGTACTGAACATTGTTCTTGAAGCATAGCCTCAGAGTAATGAATATTGTTGCAAATAATAGTTGGTCTATAAGTTATAGGCTCAAAGACCCTGGGAAATAGGAAGGACCTTATGGGTTACCTAGTCTGTTCACCAGTCCAAGAAGGAATTGCTTTGCAATAATCCTGTTTCTGCTTTAAATTCTTCCTGTGATAGCCATCTCACCACTTCAGGAGGAAACATCTGATTTGGAATCACTAATAATTAGAAAGTTATTTTTTGATAACACACTCAATCCAGCCCACTTTCATTTTTGCCTGCTGTTCAGAATGTTTGCTCCCTGTCGCTGTGATAGCTTGGTTCAGACATTTAAGGTGCCATCGTAATTACAAAATTGCAAGCTTGTATAGATTAGGGTTCATGCTTTTTCACTTTGAATTTCCCAGGACTCCTCACCTAAGGCCTGAATAAGCATGTGTGGTATAAGTGTATTGAGAAAAGTATCCCTTTTTTGGCTTTTTGCCTTTAACACATCCCCATCTCTTTCACTTCTCCCTCCAGTCTGTCAGCGTCCCCTGTAAAATGTAACAACCAGGATCAAACATAACATGTCACAAAGGGCTGAAAAGCTTGGCTTATAGTCATCAGGACATTATTTCTTAAATGCATCTGGAGAGTTGTTTTTTTTTTTTTCAATGTTAGGCACTGTTGGAACCGGTAAACCATTTTTTCCCATGGAGTTGCTTGCCATACCAAACACTTCCAATTTTTATTTTGTATGATTGATTTTTTTAACCTATGTTCCAATAATTTTTATCTCCCACTACAGATTTCTTCTTTGTTTTACAGTAGTAGTCTAATATGTGGTTTGTATATATAACATGTCATTTAGGATAGTTTCAATTACAAGTAACAAAATACCAGGCTAACAGTTTTTAAACAATAAAAATACTTTATTTTCCCTCATAATGGGAAGTCTGGAGGTACCAGTAGTTCTGTAATTGATTCAATGAAGCAGTGATGTCTTCAAACACTCAGACCTTTTCCATATTTTCAGCTAAGTCTTTCTTATTATACGGGTGCTGTCTCACCTCATGGTTGCAAAATGGCTGCCAAAATTTCAAGTAGCATTATCACCTTTTTTTCTAAGCAGGGAGGAAGCGGGTACTGATGAAAAAGAGCTTTTGTGTTATACACACACGTCTTTTGTTTGTCTCATGTGGCTTTCTGTCTTTTCTAGACGGAAAATCTCCTTTGAGAGCACCTCCAGCCCCAGGATATTTCTCCATATGCCTCATTTTCCAGAAATAGGTCAAGTGCTCATCACCATACCAGTCAGTAGCACAGGGAAATAGAATGTCTCTTTTAGCTTAGACTAATTTCTGATTAATTTTTGAGGGCTAGATAGAGTATATAAAAATGAACCTTGACAGGTAGTCTGCATGAACCCTTGTGACATAGGGACTCTGTATGACATCATTTAGCTTGTTTTTCTGTCTAAAGCTAAACTGTGGTCAGGGCTTCCCAGGTAGCCTAGTGTGCCTGCCATTGCAGGAGATGCAGGTTTGATCCCTGGTCTAGGAAGATACCCTAGAGAAGGAAATGGCAATCCACACCTGTATTCTTGCCTGAGAACTCCATGGACAGAGGCCAGGGGGTCACAAAGAGTTAGATAGAGTTAGATAGACTCAGCAACTAAACAATATAGACTCAGCAACTAAACAACAAACTGTTACCAATACCAAATTAGAGAAGTTCAAAACAGCAAATATTCACATCTGCGTGTATGCTTGAATGAATGTTACACATAAAAATATGTTTGCCATTATCAGGAAAACATTTTAATGACATAAAACATTTTTCTCTGTAGAACGCAGGGCACATTATGTTGAATATGTCATTTGTTCCCCAGTAGCCATTTTTAGGAAGAACAGGCTAAGAGCAGGATAAAAATATAACAAGTGCTGTGCTTAAGGTTACATGGCCAGCCACTTCCCAGTGAAGACCCTCTTAGTTCTCTGATGTACTTCTTGAAGATAAAAATGGGTGGTGAGAGTTTAATGTTAATCGAGAAGGAATAAAGATTTTGGTTTTTGTTACTTACAGTGAAGTATACTACTTATGATACATTAGTCTGATTAATTTCTGTCATTTAAAGAGAATAATATACAGGACTATTTCAGATATTTCAAGTTGGCATATTTTTTCATAGATGAATTCATAAAGTATCATTATTGAAGTCATGCTAAAAGAAGAAAGTAGTCTCAGATTCTCCAAAGCTTAAAACAAATGCAAATTAATGTTTTTCAGATTGTTCGGCATGACAGGACAATGGAACAAATAGTATTTCCTGTCCCCAATATATGTGAATACCTCACGCGAGAATCCAAGTGTCGCGTATTCAATACCACGGAGAGGGATGAACAGGGAAGTAAAGTGAATGACTTTTTCCAGCAAACTGAAGATCTCTACAATGAGATGAAGTGGCAGAAGAAAATCAGGAGTAAGTGCAGTGAACCGAAATGATCTGAGCCTAATGAAAATGTTTTGAGCATAATGATAGATACAGCAGTACTTTGGGGTCCATGCCAGTGTTCGTTTCAGTTGGTTCTTAATTTCTTGCCGTCTGATGTTACTGAAATCACTTAAAAGCTTAAGTATGTAAGCTCTGTCTACAGTTGGAGCCAAGATACCTGTGGCTTAAGGAACATAGAAGGTTCTGACTAATTAGATCATGTTTAAGTACTGATCCTATAGTTTTACAAATATTATGACATCCAAGATTGCAGCTGTGGGTTTCAGCTGTGGAGCAGCTGCCGGTGTGAAGTCCATGAATAGGCCTTGACCGGCCTTAGCAATCAGTCAATGGAGCGGAGAGACCCTGCATAGGCATGCCTGTCCTCTTGTTATCTGTGATCTTATGATCAGATACATTTAGTGTTTTACATTAGACTGTTTAGTGTTTTTTCTGAAACTCATTCCTTTTTTCAACATATCTGAATCTTGCCAAGTCGAAGTAAAAATTGTGTGACACTTGTATTAAAATCGGGCAAGGTTATAATGTAACACTTAAAAGTTACCGTCTTATAGTTCCCGTTACTTATTTCTCAGGTTTAAGTCTATTTGGAAATATTATGTAACAACCAAAATGGGAAAACAATCTGAAAAAGAGTAGATACGTGTATATGTGTAACTGAATCCCTTTGCTGTACCCCTGAAATCAACACAACCTTGTTAATCAACTACACTCCAATAAGTTTAAAAAAATTTTTTAGTAAGACCACAAAGGATTAAAAATTTTTCAATTTTAAAATAAACTTTATTTTCCCAGATGAGAAATATCATGAGTTTTTAATAAAAATCATTGGGAGAAAACTTTGATTAGCTCTTTTCTGACTATTGGAGAGATTTTCCAGACAACAGCCATATGTTCTCAATACTTCTATTCAACAGTGTTGCATCATTTTATTTTCCTGGGAACTTCAGTGATTATGGGGTTTATGAATTTGATTGAACTTGAGACATAACATACTTGAATGAAGATTGTAGCATATGTTGTCAGACTTTCTTAGCAGGATATTTGAAAAAAAATAAAGAAATTACTCTCTCTTAGCACTTTCCCATGAAGAACCTTATGGAATTCAGAGAAACTTACATAGTCAGAGTACATAACAGAAACTCAATTTGAAAATCTGTCATTTTATTCCTGACAAAAAGTAAATTGGATAATGAGCTAGTGCTTGTGGGGTCTGTGTTTTTGAGATAAATATTTTGTCATTTGTCAAAAGAAAAACCTTAAAATAATTTCCAATATACAGTTTACTTTTAAAATTTGGAAGCAGCTTATGATGAGGTTTTAGACAGAATCGGATTCATTTGATGGATTTGTTATTACAGATGTATGTATCAACATCTTCTAATTTTGTCTTAATATTCTTCTTTTTAAAATGAGGACTCCTAATTCAGTAACGATGAAAATGCAAATGCTTACAATTTATGGCACATTAGTCAACTAAATGCCGTAGCTAATCATAGCCTATTCCAGTGTTGGAATGCTCTAACCCAAGAGAAAGAAAACAAGATGTACTGAAGGACAATTTTAAAATCTGTCATTTTATTCCTGACAAAAAGTAAATTGGATAATGAGCTAGTGCTTGTGGGGTCTGTGTTTTTGAGATAAATATTTTGTCATTTGTCAAAAGAAAAACCTTAAAATAATTTCCAATATACAGTTTACTTTTAAAATTTGGAAGCAGCTTATGATGAGGTTTTAGACAGAATCGGATTCATTTGATGGATTTGTTATTACAGATGTATGTATCAACATCTTCTAATTTTGTCTTAATATTCTTCTTTTTAAAATGAGGACTCCTAATTCAGTAACGATGAAAATGCAAATGCTTACAATTTATGGCACATTAGTCAACTAAATGCCGTAGCTAATCATAGCCTATTCCAGTGTTGGAATGCTCTAACCCAAGAGAAAGAAAACAAGATGTACTGAAGGAAAGTGTAGTTTATAAGTAAGCATCAGACTTGAGATTGGAATTCACAGAACATACTTTGAAAAGCTTTAAAATTTCTATTTGAAAATTGAGATGGCTTTTCCCCTCAATTGACTCTTAATATTTTAAATCTAATGTTAAACTATTAAGAGTTAGACAATGGACAAGACCTGAATATGTTGTGTGACAAGCTTGTATGCATGACGTGTCCAGTTTTTTAGGAGAGGTGAAAGAAACTGAGTCTTGGCTTATGTAAATTTTATTCAGTAGATGCATCTATCAACTCATTTCTGGTGACAGATACAGAATCCCATTTCTGAAAACATTTAGCAAAACCTCTCCCACTTATTGGTAGTTTTTGTTGTATCTTTCACTTACTTTTGCTGTTGCAAACCCAACAAGTTCTTGGGAAGCATAAAGGTTTAAAACTTAGGTAATATTATAAATCACTAGTTCTCAGTAAGCAGTGCTGTGCCATGCTATTAAGTTTCAGAGTTTCAGGTAACTGTGACTGTGATTTGAAACTTTCACCAGAGATACATCTGTGCAAAGGGTGGGGGTTTTATTTTACTTTAAACAGGGGAGTGAGTAATATCAATTAATTGATATTACTAAATTACACAGCAATCTATACCATTCCATTGAAAGGGGCCCCAATTGACTGCTAAACTTCCTTCCCCCAACCTGCTCTAGGGATATATTAAAAAGAATTAACCCAGAGTCATCTTTTCTGACCAGAATTAGCAGTTGCAGAATTACTCACCCTTCTACAATGGCTTAGGTGTAAACTGGCTAAAGAAAAGAAGGAATCAAATGGAAAACTCCTTTATGCTATTGATTATAAATATTCTAAAATAAGTTGCATTAAATGTTTGTTTATATATACTTGTATAGTAGTTTGCAAAAATGCATTTAGGAAAGTGTTATTTCAGTAGGCCTCTGGTATTGAAATAAAAATTCATTTTCTGTTCTGTCCCACCGTGCCTCTTTCTCACCAGGTAATCCTGCCCTGTTCTGGTTCTCAAGGCATATTTCTCTCTGGGGGAGCATCTCCTTCAACCTGGCTGTGTTCATCAACTTAGCTGTGGCTCTCTTCTACCCATTTGGGGATGATGGAGATGAAGGCAAGTGCTTGTCTGTCTTTAAATGATAAGTATCTTAGAGTCTAAAAACAATACTTTTGATGCATGCCCTGACTATTTGGACCTTCCCAGTTACAACAATTTCATTCTTGTTACATAGCTTTTCTTTATTCACTGGAAACAGAATGATCGTAAGTAGAATAGGCAGAAAATGATCATCAGTGTTAACTATTTTTCAAGAAGTTCGTATACAGAAGAGCTAGAAGAGCTATATTGATAAATAAGGCAAGGAAAAATATTTCTACCTTATTTTGTGAGCAGAAGCATTTTATGTATCATCTCAATCATATAAATACATGGGAAAGTGAGAGATGTATGCCAAAATGTTGATTGTGATTATCTTAAGTAGTAGAATTATGTTTTACTTTTGGTATTGTCTTAAGGATTCTACAGTGAGCATGCAGGTAATTTGAAAAATAATTTTAAATGTACAGCATAAGGCAGATTATAATAACTTTAAGGATTCTACAGTGAGCATGCAGGTAATNAAATAATTTTAAATGTACAGCATAAGGCAGATTATAATAACTTTAAGGATTCTACAGTGAGCATGCAGGTAATTTGAAAAATAATTTTAAATGTATAGCATAAGGCCAATTATAATAATAGAGCACAAAGGATATTGACCATGAAGTTAATATTATCAGACTGCTGATACATGAGGTTTTGCAAAAGCAATGACAAGAAAAATTATCCCATGTTAAGTGAAACGGGAAATAATAGGAGAGATACACTAAAGGCTGTGGAAATTAAGTTTTCTTTAAATCTGGCAAAAGAACGTGGGAGAATATGTCACAATCTGTATCCTGATTGGGATACAATCAGGTAGATAACTTTGGAATGGGCATTGAAAGAATGGCTCAGAGGACAGGATGAGAGATACCAGCAAATAATAACCACAAGATGCTTTTGTATCTCATCAGTTTATAGGATTATGTGAGAATTTAATGAGATGTTGTAGGTAAAGCATTAAGAATAGCAACTAGTAATCATATGATACCAAAAAATAAAACTTGAATTTGCCATTCATCTTCAACTATTTACATAGCACTTACATTTTATCCGGGCTTCCCTGGGGCCTCAGACAGTAAAGAATCTGCTTGCAATGCAGGAAACACAGGTTCTATTGGGGTTGGGAGATCCCCTGGAGAAGGAAATGGCAACCCACTCCAGTATCCTTGCCTGGAGAATTTCACGGACAGAGGAGCCTAGTGGCCTGTAGTCCATGGGGTCACAAAGAGTCAGACACAACTGAGCAATTAACACTACTACTACTAATCATTTGATAAAGCTTAGTTGTTGTTACAAGGTGAATATTAATACTACAAAGGGAAGCTCAGTGGAAAGGAGGGTATGAGAAGAGCAAGAGGTATTTAAACCTATTTCAGATGTGAGTAGGAAGGGGAGTGAGCAGGAAGGGAAATGGGAGTGCAGAAGTAATTTGCTATTTCTAAGTTCTGTTACAGATGGCAGATAGCAAATTTCTATTCTCTGGGTATAATCTGAGTAGTTATAGAAAGGTTTGATATTTTTTAAAAGGTACGCCAGTGCTAATAAAAGAATATTTGACAAGGGAGTAGTGTGTGAGTTAAATAGCAATGAACACATAGCAAATATTTGGCCGTCCATTGTGGGGAAGTTGCAAATACAGCAGGAAGTGGAAACAGCTGTCTTCACTGTGTTTAGTCTCGTTTACTGATGATAGCCCTCTTGGCACAAAAGAACATAACTTTCGTAAAGAGAGAAGCCCAGCCTGAAATGATAAATTAGTATCATCTGCACACAGAATGCTAACTAGATTGTAGCATCCTGGTAAATAGAGCATAAAGTCTTAGATATAGAAGCAGTTCTGGAAATTATCTAAAATCAAATCATCATTGACACATAAAGAGATGGAAGCCTAGAGAAGAATGGCAGATCCAAGACTAGATGGTTAAAGCATTTGTTTGTGCTCTCGGACTTTTCTGCAATTAACACTACTACTACTAATCATTTGATAAAGCTTAGTTGTTGTTACAAGGTGAATATTAATACTACAAAGGGAAGCTCAGTGGAAAGGAGGGTATGAGAAGAGCAAGAGGTATTTAAACCTATTTCAGATGTGAGTAGGAAGGGGAGTGAGCAGGAAGGGAAATGGGAGTGCAGAAGTAATTTGCTATTTCTAAGGTCTGTTACAGATGGCAGATAGCAAATTTCTATTCTCTGGGTATAATCTGAGTAGTTATAGAAAGGTTTGATATTTTTTAAAAGGTACGCCAGTGCTAATAAAAGAATATTTGACAAGGGAGTAGTGTGTGAGTTAAATAGCAATGAACACATAGCAAATATTTGGCCGTCCATTGTGGGGAAGTTGCAAATACAGCAGGAAGTGGAAACAGCTGTCTTCACTGTGTTTAGTCTCGTTTACTGATGATAGCCCTCTTGGCACAAAAGAACATAACTTTCGTAAAGAGAGAAGCCCAGCCTGAAATGATAAATTAGTATCATCTGCACACGGAATGCTAACTAGATTGTAGCATCCTGGTAAATAGAGCATAAAGTCTTAGATATAGAAGCAGTTCTGGAAATTATCTAAAATCAAATCATCATTGACACATAAAGAGATGGAAGCCTAGAGAAGAATGGCAGATCCAAGACTAGATGGTTAAAGCATTTGTTTGTGCTCTCGGACTTTTCTGCAGGATGATTAGGTTAGAAGCATGTCAGTAACAGGTGCCCCTTTATACAGGGGCATCATCTTCCCTAAGTTCTATTCCATGATATACCTTACAAGACCAGCAGAGCCAAAGTGTATAGCCTGTGCTGCCACCTGTTATACGTTAAAGGTGATGGTGATGGGCACGGGTACCCTCTGAACACCTACTCTTTACTCATCCAGGGGAAAGTAAAGCACCTGATACATTTTTTCATACTTGCCTGGCTAATAACGGTTGTAATAGTATTGCTAGTGATGATAATAGCAACTGTTATTGTTCACCGTTTAGGTTGGATCAGGCAAAGTGCTAAGCACGTCACATACATAATTCCATGTAATCTTCCTGACAATTCTATAAAGTAAGTACTCATCCTCTGGATGAAGAACTTGAGGCTTTGGAAGATTTGACCAGTAATTCCAGAGTCTGGAAATACATACTTTTTAACAAGTTTCCTGAGGTGTCACTAATACAACCGGTCCTTGAACAAGAACTTGAAACCACACATATGGTAAAATTGGGAATGAGGCTCCAGCCTCAGAAAGAAGAAAGACCGACAAAAACAAGGCAGGAAGACAAGGTTTGTCCTCATCAGGCAAAGGTGTGCACCTTACTCTTCCGATGGCGCCGAATAGAGGCTCACAGCGGTGACCGAGGTGGAGGCTCACTCTTAAGGTCTGGGTGTGGGTAGGGCACTAAGGGGAAGGGAAAGCATGTGCTGCCATTTTGGCAGTATGGAATCCCAAGGTTATATTTGGGTAATCTGCTTACAGTTCTAGATGGGTTATTTAATTATAGCTCCATGAATAACGTTACAGTTTTGATCAGGATTAGCTGAGCCTCTAACCTTCTGTTACATGCTATGCATAGCTGGGAAGGCTGAGAAAGCAAAGTTAAGACTGACTACTATACTTGGCCATCAGAACTGCTGGAGAAGGTAAATTCTGTGCTGGACATGCAAGTCCCTAATGCTGGATTTTGTCAAGCATTAGCTGGATGACTCCTTGGCTGGGACGTTTTGAGACGATTTAGAGATGAATTAGTTGATCATTAAGATTCCTTCCAAAAAAGTGCTACCAAAAATGATGGGAATGTGTCAAAGAACACAGGATTCAACTTGAAAGGTCTCCCAGTGGCCAAGTCTGTGGAAATTTTGAGATAAAAATAGTTACAGTAATACATAATAACCCGCAGAATAAAATAAGAGTCCGGGAATCCATATTGGTAGAGGAGAAAGCTCTTCCTTACAATAGTATTCCTGTTGGAATAGAAGGAGTAATAGAAATAGAACGTTGCTGTTTGGCAAATTCCATATAACAGTAATAATCATCAGTGGATGCTGAAATTAATAGAGATGTGTTAGATGAGAAAGTATAATGAGAAACAGGATATTGACATAGTCAAAGTATTTCCCCATAATATACTTATTATGAAAGAGATTGACTTTAAAGTGGAGAAATCACTTTAATTATGTGACCAGTGTTAATGTCACCAGTGAAGGGACACAGCAACATCAGGTGCCTCTTGACATGATGTGCTGACAAGGATATGGCATCTTTTGACAAAAATGCATAAAGTGAGGAAATTTCAGACAAATCCAGAATGAGAAATATTCTACAAAATAATTGGCCAGTACTGTTTAAGCTTGTGAAGTCAAAGAAGTACTGAGGAATTAAAAGAGACTAAGAGACATGACAGCTAAATGCAATGTGTGATCCTGGTTCAGAAAAAGACATTATTTTGGCAGTTCATGAACTTTGAATAAAGGTCTTTAGATTAACGTGGTTGTTGTTCAGTCGCTAAGTGTCCCACTCTTTGTGACTCCATGGACTGCAGCACGCCAGGCTGCTCTGTCCTCTACCATCTCCTGGAGTTTATTCAAATTCATGTCCATAGAGTCAGTGATGGTCCAACCATCTCATCTTCTGCTGTCCCCTTCTCCTGTTGCCTTCAATCTTTTCCACCATCAGAGTCTTCTCCAGTGAGTCAGTGAGTGAGTCAGCTACTTCAAGTGGCCAAAGTATTGGTGCTTCAGCTTCAGCATCAGTCCTTCCAACGAATATTCAGGGTTGATTTCCTTTAGGATGGACTGGTTTGATCTCCTTGCAGTCCAGGGACTCTCAACAGTCTTCTCCAGCACCACAATTTGAAAGCATCAGTTCTGTGGTGCTCAGCCTTCTTTGTGGCCCAACTCTATTAATGTCATATATCATATTAATTTCTGGACATTGATCATTGTTGTGTGATTATGTAAGATGTCGATATTTGGGGAAGCCAGGTAAAGAGTCA